CTGATTGGCTAATCGGCCCTATCCAACCCTATGCATGCGGCTGTGGATTCTACACTGCACCGCATTCGCACTCCTATAGAATATAGGAGTAGCATGGGAAACCACAGAAAACCCATGCCGGTACAGGCGGTCACTATATTAGCGACCTCCCGCTCGCCGGAGCCTCCGGTTGAAAAACTCGGTTCCACGGGGAATCGAACTCACATCCTTTCGCACCCTAGGCTCGCACTTAGCCGCTTCGGCCACCGACGTCGGTTTCAGGCAATATTAGGGAGTATCTCCGGTTAAAAATTATTTTTGGAGCTAATCAAATTTATTTGTATCTGTTCCACGCATTGAATGGTTTTCAGATTGTTTTTTTGTTGTTACCGGCAACATCGTCGGTAGTGTTTTTTTTTTCACCAGGAGCTGGTACCACTGGCTCGAGGGAGCTCCAATCACAACGCTTTATCACTCTCTCTCAAGAGACGTTTAAATTGACCGCGCTACCCCCCTCACCCGATCGGTACTCGAGACGTTGCTGCTCGTTTGGGCTGCGTGCGCAGAAATTTCATTTTTCAGTACTTTTTTCGCTAGTATTAATAAACAATGCTCCTAGGCGACAATCTTTTTCACTCAAAAAATCATTGATCACATGTTCTAAATGTGTCTAAAGTTTCATGACTTTGGCTACATTTTTTCCTTGGGTTTTGCAGTTTTTTTTTGTGATTTCCATAAGATCACTGGTTAAATGACCACTTTTTCAAAAATTCATAATAAATTAACCATGTTTTCCAGCAGTCTGAAACTTTGCACACGCCTTTTCCATTATTTAAAGAATACGTAAAAAATCAAAGAGAAAAATGGCTGCTTTTTCTCTAACCCTCCGGGCTCGCCCGATTATCCTTAATATAATAAATAATAATTTTACCTTATAGAGGGAGGTGCCGAATGGGAAGTCCCGTACAACTACGTGAACATCCATAATGATATATGAGATGATTCAAAGAGGTTTAAATTCATTAGCAGATACCCACCCACAATTTTGACAAATAAATTAGTAGGGGTCGTGGTTGTATACTGAAATCATTAGGTCGACATACACCGTTTTACCGCTTTGCTACTGAATTGTTATGGATATTCTGATCGCCCTTCAGAAAATAAAAAATCTATTGATCTTCGATTAGCCCTTCTTTGAAAAAGGAATATAAAAAAGGAAGATTTCGAAAAATGTCTTATTAAATGCTTCTGTAGTATTTCTATTCTGAAAGTACTCGAGAAAGCAGAAAGAATTGTTTCTTATATACTCCAATCCGCATATTTGTGCGCAACATAGATTTATGAAAATTCGAGTCATAATCACTAATGTTATGTGAACAAGTGGTACTTAGACGATAAAAATGTGAACACGTTTTGAACACGCCAATTGACGTTTATAAAACAAAAACATGAAGGAGAGTGAGTTGGCATGGAGTGTCCCATATTTACAATGCCCCATCAACCTGGATCACTGATAATGAACATTTTTGGTCTTCCATTGTTGGATTAATTAACAAATCTCGTTTGGAATAAATGAATCAATCTATCCGTGTAGTGTCTTCGGTATTTTTTGTAACACCTGCCTGAAAAGTTCACTTTTCGGGGCAGTTTAGTGCGTGTAAAGTGTTTGTTTTCTGCACGACGCACGTAAAGTTCAGAGGTCGTACGTAAAGCTTTCCTTTACACATTTAAAATTTACTTCGCACTCGACTTTGAACTTTACGCACTCTGTGTAAAAAAAACAAACAGTTCACCCACACTGCACCCCGCAAACTGAACTCGGCAGATGTTACAGACTAGTATATTGTGTTACTAGTGCGTAATGATCCACTTTTTCGCACGCACGTGTAACACATCCTATTTTTGCTTCCGAATGGAAGCATTGTAATCCTTCGATTTTCACATTCTCTAATTTTGATTGGAAATTATGTAGAATAGGCTGAAACGTAAAAATACGAAGCGTGGCGACCATGTCTGTATGTAACCACGTCCACCGCCACCTTCCCGGGGGTCCATTTTTAGAAAATGAAATAATTAATTGGCTAAGTAATTCAAAAAATCTGAAATTTCGCCAAATTATAGGTCTTAATGAGGACTAACTCTGTGCAAAATTTCAGCTCGTTTATGATACCTGCCGAGTTCACTGTTCGAAACGGTAGTGCGGGTAAAGTGGTTGTTTTTGCGCACGAATGAGTAAAGTTCTTCACTTTACGAACTCGAAACTCGAACTCGGTGCTCAATTTCAGATCAATCCACCCAGACGTTTTGGAGGAATCGCCATTGATTTCTAAATTGTTTTTCGAAAATATCGCAAAAACTATACCTACCCGATTAGTGATGCCGCGAGACGAGACGAGACCAGACGAGAGGCATCAGTTTCTCGTCTCGTCTCGCTACCCGGGCATAGTAATCTCGTCTCGTCTCGTCTCGTCTCGCCAGTCGAGAAAGAATCCTGCTCTCGTCTCGATTTCTCAGGTCGAGAACAGACGAGAATACGAGACTCTCGTTCTCTCGCCTTCTCGTCCCTCGAATTCATTTGGGCCTCTCTCTGGCGCTCACTAAACTAAACGAATTTATGTGTTTATATGCATTGTTTTATTCATGCAATAATTATTTTAAAAAATGATGGTATATGATATCAAATGGTTCATATATAGATGTCATTTGTGTTGGAAAATTAATGCTTAAAAATGATCAATAAAATATCCGGCAATGAATCAATCAACAGATATATTATTAATAAAATACTTCATAATTTTTTTCATAGTGCAGTAGGTTTTTAAGGATAAAAAAAAGTATTGAATAGTACTATACTGGTATTGCTGTACACGAATAAAATACTAAATCACCTGACAGTTATATGTAATGATACGCGGACGGCTTCTTCTAGTATTATTATAAATTATCATCATATTATTATCATAAATTGAATAATCTGTCGAAATAGTTGAGTGAAAAAAAGATAGCTTTGACAATGTTGATCATTTCAAAAGATGGTCAATCAAGGCTTTCAAACTCTCTCTACGTACGGTGTTATAAATCATACGGCTAATTCTGGAATTTTCGGGCACTTTTTTTTCGCTTATTAGAATGGGATTATTCCGAAAAGGGGGAAACTGTGGACGTTATTCGAAATTTTCCCCACATGCAGACTTATAAATCAAAAAGTAAATTCTTGTGTCCGGGTAATTTTTTTTCTTGTTTCCATGCTGTACCTCATTTTATGGCAGCTTTCTGGCAATTCGTACAAGCGATGGAGAGCGCAGTGCCCACAATACCGGAGCATGTGTTCTCCATATTGTCACTGTATTCTCCTCTAATTTTTTTTGCTACTGACCTCTCCTATACCCTTTCCTCTCCCATTCGAATTTTTTCATATACTTTTCCGTACTTGAGGGTTTTCGGAGAATCTGAAAAACTGCGACAGTACCTTTTCTATCAGTTGCAGTCGAACTGATGACCAGTGCACTTCAAACATTCTTAACAGTGTGAAAGCGAGCTTCAAAAGTGAATAACACTACGTTGTTGGATTTTTTTTCCATTTTTTCCTTTTTTAATGTGCTTGAGGACTTGCAACCCTAGTGTTCAAGACATTTTAGATTCGAATTTTTTTATTCAATTGTGCTTCTTCTGATGTCGTGGTTTTCGATGGTTGAGTTGTTTAAGTGATTTATTGCTTTTTTTTGCTTTTCGCCATGAAGCAAAAAAATCAGGACTCAGTGTTGAGCAATTCAAATAAATCGAAAAAAGCAAGGACAATTATTTATGGTGAACAGTTGGAGCCACCGACAACTATTGAGAACACTGTTAAAAGATCACCAAATGCCGAGGATTCACTCATTGGTGCACGATATCGTCCATATTTTTATGGGATTTTGGAAGATGGCATTAAATATGGAATTTGTAAACTTTGTAAAGCAGCTAACGTGTCACGTGAAACAAAAACGACGAAGAGTAACACATCAGGGTTGAAATACCACTTGGAGACAAAGCACATTGACATTTATGCTAAGCTTTTTTCAAAATACATAAGATCTTTTGTCAAGGAAAATTTTTGTTTTAAATCGCGATGAGTTTTTATTTCAGATATTCGTTTAGCCATTCGCTTTGGGACAATTTAGCATATATATCCGGCTCTAGCCTTTTACAATAGTTATAGTCAGCGTAACTATTTTCCACTAAAAAGAAAACATTTTTTTCACATTACAGATGAACGTTCGTTTCACTTGAACCTGGTGGAATGGCTAACCATCAAATATTTACCACTGAGCTTCTTCAACAATCAGGCTACACAAACGTTTTTGCAAGGTGTTAATCCCAAATTTCAATACCCGAAAAGAACTGCTATGACTGTTCTCATTTCTGGTACGTATCAACAAATGCGAACAAAAGTCATGAACATTCTCCAGAAAAATGACTCCCTGATTTCCTTCACAATGGACGGATGGACGTCAATCAAAGGGAAATCATACTACGGCATTACAGCGCATTTCATCGATGGGTTCTGGAAATTGAATCTATCTCACTGAATATTTTGAAAATTGTTCAAACGATTTTATTTTATTTTTTATTTTTAAAAAAATTCATTCCAAGATTCAGAACTTGCAACTGGCCATCGCCCGAGGGCTTTCAGTCAGTGATTTTATTTAGTACGTAATAATTCATCAAATAACTAAAATATAACCATTCCGAAGGTTGCCATTAATATAGTGATGGCAGAAAAAAATCAACAGACTCCGACCTAGAAAATCTTCAATCACATGATCACATCCCCGCTGTCACCTGCTGATTGTTGTTTCCATCTTTGGAAGATTTTTCGTTTTACACACGAATTACTCTTATTGAGAATAAAAGTAATTCAGATAATAATCGTTAGGATCAAACAAGAGCATGAATAGACGATTTTATATTCATCTTGTGAAGTCACATCATTTGTTAAATCTTTTCTAAGAGTTTTTCTAATCGACTTTTCATCATTGATTTGCTGACCCTGTCATGACTTCTTTGATATAGTACATTTCGACACTAGGCCGTGAGGAACTTTTCTGGCGAAGATGAGGTTGCAGGACGAGCCGAAGGCGACGTTTGTAATCATTTGAGGTAGAAAAGTTCTTCACGGCCGTGTATCAAACAATATTTTTTGTCATTGGGCCCGAAATGCCCGAAAAATTTATCGGGCCTAGTGACGAATTTTTTTTATAATTCTTCGATGGTATTTGCTCGGTCTCAAGACCGACGATTCCACGTGTGAAAAAATCGTATAGAAATTTTCTATACGGATTGCGTATAAAAATTCTACAGGATTTCCGTATATGATATTCCGTTATTTCTATACGAATCATTTGTATACAAGAATTTTTACATAAATTTGAGTTTTCATACGAAAGATGTCGAAACGCTTCAGAGAAAAACATAGGGAAATGTCGCAACTCCATACGAAATGTTTCTATACATGAGGAAGTGGGTCGTATAGGATCAAACCTATAGAAGTCGTATAGAAATAATTTGTATAAAAAATATCCGTATAGAAATATCCGAATATCATATACGAAAATCCTATAGAAATTCTACACACAATCCGTATAGAAAATTTCTGTACGTTTTTTTCCATACGTGTGGTTTCTTTTAATGGGAAAATTTTTTATTTACATATGTACAAAGGCCGTAGATCCCATTTCTTGTTTATCAGTCCCTTTTTTTGGTTTCTCACAGGAAAGGACCCTTTGCGAAAAGAGAATTTGAGGAAAATTACTTTCAGTACGGTCAATTCATAAATTTTAAGTTTAAGACAAAGTGAGAAGGCTGCAAACTCCTTTTTCCACAGTGCAGATCACATGACCCGTACAAAGATGCATTTTTCCTCAAGTAGAAAAAAAATGTATTCCAGAATTTTGGAAATACCCAAATCTTCTTTACAACAGTCATTTATATCAGCACCTTCCCACTTTCTTTCAACCAATAATTTTAAAGTTAGCGAAGATAAGTTAGCCAATAAGAATTGTTCATTCCTTCCAATTTTCAGAAGAGGACTTAGTATTTCCTACAACTTTTCTTGTTAGTCACCTCCTCGACACCGGCCAGAGAAGACTTCTTTCTTACTGAGCCTCTCGATATATCCGCGCTATTTTTTCTTCCAAGTGAAACATTTATATCGTGTGAAGGGCAATATTATTGCGTAATAGTTAAATGTAATATTGTTCCTCGATTAACAGACAATTTAGACTTTTATTCAATTAATTTCTTATAATTCGAGACATTTGTGTTGTAAAAGGACAGTTATTTTTTGTGTAATTAAATTTAAGGTGTTTGTCAATTAGTGATTTTCATTTAAAACCCTTAAACCACAGTTTTCCCACTTATATTGAGTCAGTTTACGTTAACGTATCAGTCGTTGGAGATTCCTTGGCAAGCTGCAACATCGGCATACCTGAGATATACGTCAAGTAAAGGGGCTTTCCCCACTTTTTCGGGCTACCGCATCGATGATACCCAACGGTATTCGTTTGTTCTTGGAAGGATTCTTTTGTTGACGAATTTATTCACATGTGAATCAAATCATTTGAAAATTTATTATAAAAGAGTTAACAAGAGTGATGGATATTTTAGTAGTGATTTTGTAAGGTCAAGTAGTTTGTTGAATTTTTTCTAACAGCATTTCTAGTCTGTCTTTCATTACTGGCTGACCTCTTCTCGTCTTCTTTGATAATTTTTTGTAATTCTCCATTCGTTTTTGTTTGTATTTCTGAAGGGCTTCCTCTCTTTCAGCTTTCACTCTCAGCATTTCAGCTTCCTTCTGTTTCTTTTCCTCCTGCTTCCGCTGAAATTCAAGTTTCGCGGAGTGGAAAGCATTCCGCTTCTTCTTGGGTTGTCTATTGAACAAAATTATTGAGTAATGTGCATTGTTGTTGGATTCTCACAAGTTCGAGGAGTTTTATTAGGGAAGGGTGGGGCAATAAGGACATCTGGGGTAAAGTGGACACTCGAAAAATTCGCGAATTTTTTTTTTTCGAAATTCAAATTTTTGAAAATTGTTTCATTGCGCAATATGGACACCTGATAAATCCATATAGGTCAGACTAAAATGGACGCTCAAAAAATTTTCAAAAAATTTTCAAAAAATTTTCAATAATCGAATTTTTAAAAATTTCCTTCTTGGCAAAGTCCACAACTGAAAACTTATTCAAGAGTGGGGTAAAATGGACACCCGAAAAATTTGGTCCTATTCAAATTTTAATCAAGAAAATTTTCAACAGACATTTTCCAATAGAATCGTGTCGGTATCTTTTTATAAACAGGAATTAGAGTTGGAAGAGATATTAACGAATAAACTTCAACTCTATTAAAGTTTACATTGAAATTTGAAATACACAGTAGCTTCAGATTTCCTTAAAATCTTTCTATTAAAATAATTTTTATTATTTTTTTAATAAACAATTGCACGTCCTACATAACTGATCTTTTGTCCATTTTCGAAATTTGGTCTACTTACGTCTCTTTATTTTCCTCTTCAGGATTGTCGGAAGGAATCAATAGTGGCTTAGGTGATGCATTCTTGTTGTCTCTCTCAAGGTCTTTGTAAAACCCACGCAATACAGCCTTCTTCCTCCGATCCTCCCACTGTTCCACTGGAAATAATAATGCAACAATTGTTCCGAATGAAAATAGGAATTGTTTTGACAGACTTCACATGGCCTAACCTAAAGCAGGCGCTCCAAAACTACTTTCTCACCTTTATATTTATTGCTGTACTTTTTCAATCTGTAGGCCTTCTTGTCGAAGGGTTTCTTCGTTTTCTGTTCATTTGCATCAGTCGCATTTTTATTAAATCTTGCTGATTTTCCGTTTTTTCCATCAGGCTTCATGATTGTTGATGGCATTCACACCACGTTTTTTTGTTTTCCTCGGTCACTAACGCGCTCTACAATTCTCGGGAACTCCTTCGGAGGCTCCGAATCGATAAGAGTGAGAGCTGCATTACCATTTCGAAGGCGCTCGCTTTAAACGCTCAATCCATTTCTTCAATCATTTGATGCCGAAATTTTTCAGCAATTTTTAAGAAATGAACTGTGACGTTTTGACTTAGATCACCCACCGCATTAATCCTGAATGATCTAACATGTGACTAGTTCCTGGGACTAGTCAAATTGAAATAAGTCCTTCCTTCCTAGAGCCGTCGTACCCTATGTTGACCGGCTAGTTTCGGCGGTGAGCTCACAGGGAGTTCGCTCACTCGGAGGGATGTTCGAACAAGGATAGAGGAAGGGATATTACTTGGTGATATTATCAATAACACTCGCGTATTTATCGGTAAAAGTATGGTATATTGACTGATGATTTAAAATACACGACTGTTTTAATTATGGGTTGGTATACGCGTTATTACGGCTCGACTAGGGACTTCGACTCGATTTGTTGGCTGAAGGCCTGAGCTAGAGGTCCGCTCGACTCTGCTCCTGATCGTACTCTGCTCTCTGGTGAGTCCAGAGAGCTCCTCCAAACTCGTCAAAGTCTCCGTTTGCTGAGCTAAGCAGTCTCACGGTTTTTCTCCACTAAAACTGTTTTGTGTCATCACTGACACAGACTAATACAGTCAAACAGTTCGGTTCACTTGAACTGGACTTGCGAAAACCGTGTGACTGCTGACCATGGTGTCCAAAACACACCATGGTATAGCTGACTAATGTCTGGATGGCAGGATGGAGAAATCATGTTTCTCTTTCCTCTCATCCAGTGGTAATATGATCCTTTCATATTATTAATTACTAAATCGATGTATTGGTCGATCCCAATACGTCACAGAACCATTGATAAAATTTTGATGGAAATCTTGAAAAATTAATATAAACCATGGATCCCCATCAATATTAAATTTCTGTAAGATTACAGGGATTTGACCGTTACATTATTGAACGTTTAAAATGGTTCAATTTTTCAAATAATATAATATTAATAATCTGATTTTTTACGAAGAATGGTATATTTAAAATTTGTTAATATAAAACTGTAAATTTACTACTAAGTGAATAATTCTAATTTCTTGACAGGGGATTTTCGATTATACAAGTAATTGTCAATCTTCCTACCTCAAATTATTGCTTGATAAAATAGTTGAAAATTTGAATATTTGAATTGATGATACTTAAGTACTCAAAAAATTTCAAGAGTGATGTTATCTAATTAAAGGGCTACAATATTAACCGTAATAAAATATTACAAATTTGGCTATCCCTGATAATAACCTCTCACGGACGAGGTTATTATTAGGACCTTCTGTTACCAAGCGTAGTGTGTGCTCAATACGACTCGAATTCTATTATTTCTAATGAATGGAAAATTATGAAACCGGTATCTAATTGAAGCTACAGTATTCTGGTTTCCAATTTTGTTTGTCTGATCAAGTTATTCTTCATGGATTTGGAAATAATCAATTTTGAAAACAAGCGTTCACATTCGCATGAGTCGATACCATGCATCGACCCTAGTACGTGAGGGGTTAAAAGCGAAATTATTTATAAAGTGAGAAAAAAAATCTTGAAAACTTGATGGCTACACGATGTTTTTGTTTTTTACCAACATGGAAGTTAATGTTCTCTAAGAATATCTAAGGACTACGAGTTCGACACTTTCACCCGCGGAAATCCTTTTCAACAAAGAAGTCAAAAGTTTCATTTCACTGCATTAAACATGTACACAAAGAAAAATCTAAACGTAAATTACGTTTAAGAAGACGTCTTTTACGCTTTCTGAAGCTTATTTTACGCTTGAAGTTGAAGCGTAAATTACACTCAAAATCGCCGTAAATTACGATTGCATAAACATAATTTACTATTTCGTTTTCGTAAATTACGGCTACATAAACGTCATTTACGGTTTTGTATTCATAAATTACAATGATTTTTTCCGTATTTTACGTTTAATTATCCGCAATTAACGACGAAGAAAAAAAATTATTTCAAACGTAAAATACGCTGATTTGTTTCGTAAATTACGCATAAATAAATCGTAAAATACCTTTCTATTAAGATCGTAACTTACAATTTCTTAATTGTAAAATACCGTTCGTAAAACGTAAGACGGTTTGTTTGGGCGTAATTTACGTTTTTATTCTGACCGGAAAATACGCCTTTTTGAATCCTAAATTCAGATTTTCATATCGAAAAACAAGGAACCAAACATCATATTGGCGTTAAGTGCATGTTAAGCACGTTTAGTAAACCGTAAATTACGTTTAGGTTGTTCGTGTCTATTCTACGATAAAGATGAACATTAATTCGATCACTAGATGGGTTCGAACACCCCCGTGTAGAAATCTTTCCGATCAATCCCCGCTTCCTATACAATCAAACCGGGGCTCAGCGATCGGTTCGAGCACGTGAGCGGGGGTTCAGCCTAGGGATGTGAAATGACCGTCATTTTTCAATTCGGTCAGGTCAGGCAAAATTGGCCTTTTTCTGACCATTTTCTGACACCGAGATAATTCCCCATGCAAAATGACCGTCATGAACAACCAGCGTCAAAAATTTGAGAAAATGACCAAAATTCCTCTATATAGATGCAAATTGACGGTCATTTTATTTTTGGTAATTTTTTCGGTTTAATTTTTGGTTATTTTATTTCATTAGTTAGCCGGCGTAGGATCCCTATGACCGCCAGTAACCTTGCCGACACCGAGTAACCGAATAAAAATTTCTGTGTCATCTATATAGATGAGAATTGACCGTTAGAATTGAATTGGTCATTTTTTGAATTCCTGACCGAATCGTCAGATTTATGGACATGGTAATTACCCGTCATGACCGCGGTAATTGACCGTCATTTGACCGGTCATTTTTGTCACTCACATCCCTAGTTCAGCCGCATCCCCGCAAATTTCTACACAAGTAAACGAATAGTATATTATGTAATTAGGCGATAAAAGTATTATCTGGCGAATGTGGCTTTATATTTCGAGCCGAAGGCGAAATAATCACATTCACATCGCATTCGCCAGATAATGCTTTTATCGCCGTGTGATATATGCTATTTTATGTCGTTAGGCCCGAAAACTGCGATCTAACCGAGCGAAGCGAGCATTATCGCGTTCGGCTCGGATTATAAAGCCACATTCGCCAGATAATGCTTTTATCGCCGTGTGATATATGCTATTTTATGTCGTTAGGCCCGAAAACTGCGATCTAACCGAGCGAAGCGACGTTAGAATCGCGGTTTATCGGGCCTAATGACATAATAGTATTTTTCCGGCCTGTTGCGATGGGGTTTTTTACTCGTGTGGCGTTGGCCTCCGAGCCGTAGGCGAGGACTGGCCAACCACACGAGTAAAAAAACCCCATCGCAACAACCCAGGAACAATATTTTTCTGTAGTGATTTTCAAGTTTTCGAGTTTGGGAAGTATGTAATACCAATTCCCAGACGAGAAATCGTGAGAAGCAGTACAGAAAAAGACTTTACGTTTACGAGTAAACGAAAAGACACTTTTCGGCACGAGGTGAACGTGACAGCAGTGTCAAAATAGTACATTTCGATACGAGTGCGAGAAAGTTTTTTTTAAAACCTCCCACGAGCCAAAAAACACTTTTCCCATGAGTATTGAACGATATTTTTCACCACAATGTGTGGAAAACGGACGTTTTTGACACGCGAAGCGTGCCTAAACAGTTACTTCTTCACAGAGCGTGATGAAAAATATACAAGTGTCCAAGTCATCCCCAACCCCGCAATCCCCTAGCCCCTACCAGGACCACTACCCTTTGATTCTCCGCGTGGTATGCACAACAAAACAACCGAAATAACGATGCAGTTCACGCTGAGAGACAGAGCAGAGCATCAGACGTGTGCTCCAAATTTATAAATACCCCAGTGGAAATTGCGAGAAGTCTCTACGTCTCAATAATATCCACCTCCGAATTACCCCTAAACCCCAGTAATAAATAATTTTAGTGTCCCCTTGTCGTTGAACAAGACATTGGATTCATGTCAACAGACAGCCGTCTACGACTAAGTATTAAATTTTGCAATTCATTGGAAGACATTGACTCCTCCATTACTCGTTTTGAATACCGAAGAATGTGAGCGACTAAAGGCATTGGAGCATGTCGTCATGACATTATTATCCTCACAAGTGCCCACCTACACATTCAGTGACGTGCTGGTTATATATAATTGTACATTCTGCCTCGATTTCTATACCGAGTCACGACGAGACTCCAAGTTTGGCGGCCATGGCACTATCAAGGACATTTGATGTGTGTGTGAAAATGATGGGGATTTGCCCGTGACATGATGCGAGGTTAACGTGCCTTCACAAACTGCCTCCGACTACCAACAACTGAGGATGATGTCATCGAGATATGAGCACATAATCCCACGCCGAGCCCTTCAATCGAGTTGTTTCCTCATATTCAGTCTCTTAGAAATCCCTTCATTCGCTTCCACGCAAATACACAGCTGGATGTATCTTCGATTAAATCTATTCAACTGTAAACACATCTATGAAAAATTTTAACTTCAAATTTCGAATGGAAATTTTGAAATATTTAACAACAATCAGTTTACGTGGAATTCCAATGGATTTCATTAAGGGGATACGTCGGCGAAATTTAAAAGCCTTCACACATTGAACAGTTTGTGATTTATGACGGAATATGGGAATAACTAGGGAAAATCGCGGACCCGATCGATCTTGCCCCGTGTAACCACGAAAAACTTCATTTTTTCCTGATATCATTGGCTTCCGGATGGATGTCGCGTTTGGTTACAGCGTTGCGCCGACGTTTCGCAAACATTGCAGTCCATATCAATAATCATGGCCGCGAAAGCCTCAAAACTAAGTCCATTTTTTCCTGCTTTTACCTTCAAAATGCTCCTTGCGCCGTAGTTTTCATACGCTTTCAGCTTTTTTTTAAATGTTCGTTACACTCCAAAGAATAAAGTTAAGCATCCGTTTTACTTTCTTCATGATCTATTGCGAATATGTGGTATGGCTTGCGGGGTTAATGAGTTAATCAGCGGATTTTTCAAGAATTCAATGGAAATTTTACTTTCAATTCATAGTTTTCTCAGTACTCCATACTCATATGAAATTTCGTAAGGTCCCGGAGAGGCTAAAATTAGAATCATTTGCTGTTAGGGTCATTAAAAAACGATGATCACTATTTTTTAGGAGTCGAACCGGTTTATTTTTGAGGTCTGCATCATTGCAAATGAAAAACAATAAGATTCTTCCAATTTCAGTGATGTATATCCCGAAAATGGAACGATCGAAGTTGCTTACAATTTTAGTCATTAATGGGTTTTTAATGCATCGAACAATGGGTGATCCAAATTTAATCTGTCTAATATCTTGCGAAATATCTCGTGAGCATACACGGAGAAAAACATTTAATAAAAATTAAGTATCTTTTGCGTAATTCCCGAGCATAATGTGGGTGTAGGACATTTTACGGAACTGTCACGTAATTTTTACCGAAAATCACGGAATTTTTCCAGAGCGTTCCGTAATTTTTACCTGAATCTCCTGTGAAAAATTACGATACTGTCACTTAAATTTTCTGAGTTGATTCCGTAATCGGCGAGTGAACTGTGAGTTTCGTCATTTTTACTGAACAATTCTCTCCGTGTAGAGTACACTATTAAAAATGTTCCACCTAAATTTCTGGTAAGAGTCTTGGAAATTTCTAGTAAGTAACATTGCCACTGAAATGTCAAGAAATTTCGTAATCGAAAATTCAAAATTGCATGGAAATATTCATGGGAATTGTAAATTTCAGTTCAATTATTGCGGGAAAATTGATGGAAAATTAGGAAAATTCAGAGAAATCTCTCCTTGAGTTCCAGATTCCACAGAATTTTCACGGAATCCTTT